TCGGGTACCTTGACTTTCATCTAGCCCGGTACACTTCTCTTTCTGCGGTCTACCCGAGAGGCGAGCTGGACAGAATCAAAGTCGACCAGAAACTCCTGCTTCCTTTCCGCTGGGCCTTGAAGTGCCCATCAAATGATGTCTGGATCCCGAAGTACCGTTCGACTCCTGCACTCCAGACTCTGCTCGGGTTGAGTAAACTCATTCTGACAGACTCCACTCCTGCCTGGGCTCAGTGAGGGAACTGAGGGAAGTTGCTGAGGACTCCAGAGCCCTGACTAGAGGAGGAGCCGGCAGAGTCTGGCTATGAAAGCATCCCGCTGCCCTAAGGGCTGGCAGGATGTGTCCAGCTGGTGGCACTGTTTATGAGAGGCTCTGAGGATTTCAGGAAGGGAGGACCAGCTACTAGAGGCAGCTAAATGGTTGTGGGTCCTGGATGCTCCATTTACCTCTTGACCTCTCTGCTTCCTGGACACTGTGAGAGAGCAGCTCTGCTCCACTGGGCCGTTCCTATCACGATGGACACACACCTCTTAACTGCGAACCAATAGAAACCTTTCTTCCTTTTGAGGAACCGATACAAAGTCCACCTTCTAAACCATGAAGTAGTCACTCTGAATACACAAGGCTACACTGCCCAGTTTCTCCAGCACATGGAAGTTTAAGACAAACGAAAATCATTGACGGCAGCTGTGGCTCAGTAGTTAAGAATATATACTATTCTTTCAGAGGAGCGAAGCTCAGTTTCAACTCCAATGTTGGGCAGAGCACAACTACCCACAAGTCCCGCCCCAGGAAATCTGTCGCCCTCTTCTGGTCTCTTCAGGCACTGCACTCACATGCACATACCCACACACAGACCTGAACCTCCACACATATTAAAATGAAAATTAACCCCCCCTTAAAAATAAACTATTAAGGACACACCACCATGTGCTTTGAGTGGCACAAGGGGTTCTCTCAACTTGTAGAGGAAGACTGGGGTTCAGAAGTGTTGTGGCATCAATCCAAGATGAAAGGACAGGGGCTGGCCATTTTGATTGACTGCAGTTTTACTCGTGTTAGTTGAACATCCAGTTTAGAACCTGGCTTTCAGAGGGCTTTGCATGAGGGGGTCTATTCACACCCTGCCTTTGTCTCCTGCCTTTAGAAAAAGGCAGAGTTGCTATTGCAACTCCCTATTCTATGGCTGCATATACTGAACTAAGCATCACACTGAATGGCAGGCTGTGCTTTGCCTAGTATTGAGTGAAGTGCCCAGCATGGTGCCGAGTGGAATACTGTGTTTTCCATATTACTGCAAGGAGTACTGCTTTCAGAGAGGGAGGGGGCTCCAGCAAATATCTGTCCCATTAATTTAGTGTATGTCAAAAGGACAACGATGAAGAATTTCCCCCAGAGACCCGGTAGCCAGGCCAGGAGGCTGCTCAAGAAGACAGTCACACTTTGCATGAATTACGGCATCTGTTATTTAAGACAAAATGGAGCGACTGCAGAAGAGATGCTGATCACACACAAGGACATTTCTAGAATGACAAACTAGAAGAGAGGCGTGGGCCTCAGATGTCCAGCGCAGCAGACCACAAGTGTTAAAACGTTCTTGTAGAGGAAGAAGAACCCTCCACACTCACCGAGGCCTGTGTGGTGACCTCTGGACACGCATCAACAGCTCAGAGGTCAGAGGGGACAGAGCGGAGCCCAGGCATCCCTGGAAATCCCAGGACTGCCCAATGAGCCCTCTGTCCACTTTGGTTGTGTGTTTGTCCCTTGGTTCCTGATGCAGTTTTCCTGCCTTGATAAGTCTTATTATCTGGGAAATGGGCAGATAGATGTTAGGGAAGGAGGCAAGGAAGATCCTGGGACCTTTATAGGGGGTTTCCAGGGTCCCTGTGGAGACTCACTGCACTGGACAGTGGTGGTGTGCCTGAGGTGGTGGTGGGAATAGGGTCCAAGAGCTGAGGTAGACAAGGTGTGGGTTGCAGTGAAGACACTTGGGTATGCCTGGGCAGCCAGATTCCTGCTCTAACAGGATTATCGAGGGGCCGTGAAGAATAACATCTCACTGATAAGAAGGTCGAGTTGAGGCCGGTGAACTTCCTATGATCCCAGGAAGCAGCACAGATCATTAAAATGATTTCTGAGTCTCTGGACAAAGCAGACATAGCAAGCGCCATTGTTTGGGGTTCCCCACAAACGTGCCGGGCAACAGGAAGATGGAAACCTGCAGTTCTGGCTTCACAGTTACGCATGATGCTGTGACAACCAAGACAGAGCCCTGAGTCATCAGCGTCGGCCTCTGTCTTCATCTCAGGGAACAGCTGAGGACAGGGCAGCAGGAGCAGGGCGGGCTTACGGACTGTTGATTGACACTGTGCCTTTAGCTGAGATGTACCAAAGGCTCCTCGGCTTTGGTGGGCAGAGCATTTTAATCAGTGGCATTGGTTAGATTTGAGGGACTGCGTGGACCTTGATGGGATGATGAACCACTACATGACAGTAAACATCGCAGGCTGATATTCCCCTGGCCATGAGCACTCCATGAAACACCAGATTGGAGCAGCCCCCAGAAATAGATGAGGTGGGCAGGAAGGCACTGGATGAGCCAACCTGGTACCCACTGCTCCCTTCCTGGAGGTGGCATCCTTGTTTTCCATTCAAAGGATACAAGGAAGAGGAAATCCACCACAATATACCAACGAATGGCAGACAGGAAGACTTGAGGGAGACTGGGATGGGAGTTTAAGCACCCACAAAATTGCTCCTGTTGCAGAGGCTTGACAGGGGCCAATTGAGCCTACACACAGGAAAGAGAGGTTTTTATGTGCCCCTGCCCCCGCCAGTGTGGCCTACACAACTGCTTAGGAGCCTAGACTCTCTCTAGCTGCAATGGCCAGCAGGGCCTTTACCTGCTACCAGGGCAGACATAGCTCTACTATCCAGTCCAGTGGAACCCTATGGGCACTCCAGAAACCCCTCCTCAAGGACTTAGTATCCTCCTTGCCTCCCTCCCTAACATCTGCTCATTTCCCAGAAATGTGACAGACATATCAAGACAGGAAAACCCTGCACCAAGGAAGTAAGGGACAAAGACCCAACATAAGAGGACAAGCGGCTCCCAGGGCTTGCTAAGCAGACCAAGCGCCCAGGGACACAGCCACTCCTAGACTTCCAGGAATGCCTGGGCTCTGCACTGTCCCCTCTGGCCTCTAAACTGTTGATGTGTGTTCTCAGAGGTCGCCTTTAGGTATTGGATGTAGACATAGCTCAGGTGGCCATCCATGGCCACCTCAGGGCCTAGTCACTTTCAAGGAAGTGTCCTTCTGTAGGGAGAGCCTGTAGGCCCCAATGGCCACTTCTTCCCCGACTAAGGCAATTCACTCCATCAAAGCACTCTGCTGCCCCATTGGACTTTGCAAATGGCAAGATCAATGTCTATTTGCCCCAAACACAGCAAGAAGGAACACCCCCCTTCCCAACGAGCTGGCAGCCAGATACTGAGGCAGCGTAAATTATTAAAGTCTGAGGAGGAGGTGGAAATTCTATTTTGTCCACACAGCTAGGAGTGTCAGGTTTCCCTGATGGCTAAGTGGCTGGGGACCCACTGTTTTGGTCTTACAGAAACTTGAAAATTTTAAGCAAGGGCAATTTGGGTGCCTACGCAGAGACGGAGATCTTCTGCTGTTTGTCCCTCAGCAGGGCCATTGAGGACCTGTCATGTAGCCATCTGTCTTCTCAAGGATCTCACGCAACAAGGTGTGGCTGTTCCCATCTTTACACGTTGGAAACTGAATGCAGTTGAAGGGCAACCAGCCAACGATTCCCATCAACTCCAGCGTCCATTGGAGTGCAGCCTTGAAACCAGTTACTCAGGCCCTCTGGCTCTCAGTTTCCACCATGCATAACTGTCAGCAGTGAGGCAATGGCCAACGTCACAAGTTGTCATCTGAGTAGCCCCATGCTTGAGACCCTAGCACCAAACTCGCGGGAGCACCACAGTCTCTGCATACAGGTTGTGAAGGGTTGTTTAACACAGTGTGTACCTTCTTGGGTTGTCTGAACGCCATCATCAAGTTTGCTTCCTAGAAGAGTTCACGCGTGCTCACGCGTTATTCCTATTGGCTGTATATATCTGGCACTGCCTTCTGCCAGCTGAGTCCTGACTGGGCTATTTCTTGTACCTCTGCCTGGGAATGCGGGTGAATCAGACAAGTTTATGCATCCTCAGTGGTTAAGCTGTGGGGTCCTGAGATCTCAATTTGCATTTTGTGAGCATGCTGAGTTAGGTCCTGGTGGCCTTGCTATTTGACTATTAGCTTGGGTCCCGTTTTCGCTCAGGAGTTTTGCACATTGTATTTGGCATCTAAGACACTTGTTCCTGAGAGCCAGCTTGACTCTTGGTGTTGTTGGTTCTCCCACAGCACAGCAAGATTTTTTCTTTTTGGTATCAAATGATTTCATCTTAGAAATGTCTCCTTTCCTTGTGTGTGTATATGGGTTTTGTTTTTGGCTAGGGGAACTGTAGACTCTTTGTAAAGTTTGCCAGTAAACCTCAGCTTTAACCAAGGCCAAAGAGAGGAAGCAGGAAAGAAAGCCTCCCTGTGGGTCGCTAACAACTCCCCTTTCAGGAGAGCAGGCCTCTTTGCACTTGCCAGAGTGCTGGACGAAGGAGTGATTTCTGCGCCCACTCTGAAGGTGGGAAGACTAAGGTCTGCTGTCAGGAAGGTCCGTGCCCAAGACCCTTGGCAGAGAGAGCTGAGACCCTGGCCAGAAGGACCTCGAAGCCTGAGTAGCTCCCGATTCGAGCAGCTGTAGAGCCTGCCCCGCCCCCGTTCCTAACCACGCCCTGCCTTGCAGTTGCCACGGTAACGGGAAACGCGCGAGCATGCACTGCGCAGGCGTAGGCGTAGAGTCCCTGTTGCTAAGGCCACCTGGAGGCACTCTAGTGGGTGAAGTGAGGTTCCAGAGTCGGACGCACCAACCAGAGCGAGGGAACCCCAGTCAGTGCCTGCGCCCCTGGGGGGTGACGGCAGGGTAACCCACCTCTCAGAGCCTTTCCCTGCCCCAAGCGACAGGCTGTACTCTGTCCCTGTCCCTCTCTCCAGAGGAACCCCCACCTTCTGGGAACCTCTAGGGTTTCTCTGACCTCTGCAGTAGGCCAGCCTTCAGAGGGCAAGGAAGAGCTTCCTGGTGGGTGAAGGAAAGACAGAAAAAGGCCAGCCATGTCGAACCTGTAAGTAGTGGGTCACCTGTTAGCCTCTGTCTTCTCCAGAGTGACTTCTTCTGCCTTTCCCCCTCCACCTTGCCTTCCTCTCCACCATCCTCCTCTCTCCTCCTTTTTTGTCTTTTATCAAGTTCAATATGTCTCAGGATTGATTATCCCTGTCTCGCTGGCAAAGGACACTAGTCTGTTTCCCTCCTTCCTCAGAGGGAGGGTCTACCTCCAGGCCTCCATCACACGCCCATGGCTGACAGAGGCGACTTTTCTCTTGGTTGTGAATGGGTTGCTTGTGAGAACCCCAGACTCTAAACTGCATTCCAGAAAGACCCCCGGCCATTGCTGAGTGTGTCTCTCTCACCTCCTTATAGCCTTGGCTCTGCAGTTACCCCATGCTGTGCAATGTGGTATGGCTAACTGGAGAAAGTTCCAGGCCGAGTCTTGGTCATCACCCCCCTGCAAAGTGGTAGCTCTCAATATTTTTTTCCATACGGAAGAAGAGGGTTCCCAGCACCATGCAGGGCAGTGGCTCACGGCGTACATCTGCGGCCACTGTAGACCGCAGCTTCAGGTCCGTCCAGCTTCTCAGTACTGTCTGTCAGGAAACCTAAGCCTGGGCGTTCCCAGCTCATGGAAGGAAGGGGTGAGGAATGCGGTATGGGGAAATCAGGAGAGCAGACGGAAGCCCGTGGAGCTGGACGGAAGGCTGTTGAATGTCAGCTCTAAGCCTCCCGGAGATGAAGAAGGAGCTTGACAGTGTGGGCCCGGGACCGTCTATATGAGACATGGAGCAAGTGCAGGTAAAAGGGCCAGCAGGGAGAAGAGCTAAGTTAGCTAAGGAAGTAAAGCCTCCCTCCGTGGGAAAATGGTGTGCGGAAGGAGGCCAGCTCTGTGCTGCTGGGGTGAGTCTGGAGAGGCAAGAATGGAAGCGAGATTCGCAGCATAAGGTCCATGCTGGTAGCAGACAGCGGAGTGAGGGGTCAGAAAGATCATTCTGGAGACAGAGGAGAGAAGCCAATGCAGTGAAGGCCTAAGAGTTTCAGTGGATAGGGGACAGAGTGGTCACCCTGGCAGAGGACAGGTTAGACGGAGTCATTAGATGTGAAACCACTTCATTTTGGTGTGCCAAAGGAATGCCTGGTGTTGACGGAACCAAGAGAGTATAGGAGGCCAGGAGTGGGTGGGTGCCACCCTTGATAGTGAGGGCCAGTGGGAGCTCATGCGCCAGCAGACAGCTCCGGGTACCGACTTGGCAAGCCCAGACTGAGTGTAGCCGGACATCTAGAAGGAAGGCAGAAAAAGAGTGCTCTTCCGAGGGAAGGGCGTGAGGAAGAATAACGCAGAAACATCAGGGGCAGTAATGTTAGCCCCTGAGGATGCGGGACTCGGAGCTGGGAGCTGGGGAGAGAGTGGGGCTGGAGGCCGTGTGAATAGCCAGGAGGCCCCTAGAGCTGCACACAGCCAGGACAGAAGGGTTCCACACAGAAGGGGACCCACATTAGAGAGCACCCCCATACAAACTGCACTCCACAACACACACACACAGAGATAGATAGATAGAGAGAGAGAGAGAGAGAGAGAGAGAGAGAGAGAGAGCACATGTGGGGAAAAGCCAGGTGTCTCTCAGAGCAGGAAGTGGGAGCACACAGAAAGGGGTAACCATGAACTCAGTGCGAAGGAAGGAAGGTTTATTATTGTCTGTCAGTGGCAGGAGGCAATCCCCATTTACCCACTTAGACTTTCTGAGGAAGCTCAGCTCATGGTCCCTCCCCAGTCATCAGCGGCAGGAAGAAGTCTATCAAGCTAAAGAATAGCTATGTGGTCTTTCTGAGCCCTTACCCACTGCCCTCCTGACTTCAGAGTCTGTCGCTTTCTAGGTTGTGTTCTCTACTCTGAACTCCATCATGGGCTTTTGAAACCACTAGGCAGTCTCAGGACTGAGATAAATCTAAGTTCTCCACACCATCATACCTGTGTGCCCCAACCCCTTGGGGGGCCACCTTAGGGATGGGGATCCACTCCTGAGGACTCTTTTTTTTTTTTTTTTTTTATTTTAATTTATTTATTTATTAAGAATTTCTGCCTCGTCCCCACAACCGCTTCCCGTTTCCCTCCCCCTCCCCCGATCAACCTGAGGACTCTTGAACACAGGAAGTGACATGGTCTGCCTGTACCTAAATACCTTGAGAGGAAGGAGATGGCTTTATCACTACTGCACTCTCACCTTTGACCCTGCCAGGCCACAACCAAAGAAGTGAACCCATGTCCACACAAAGAATTGTGTGACTGAAGTATCACCACCCTGCTCAAGGCAGGACAGAAATGTCCCACGGGTCCCTTGGCCGGTGCTGGATAAGGGTGTGCCAACAGTATCACAGGTTGTTTGGCGTTAAACCAAAAGAAGTCCTGGCGTGTGCTACAACGGGAGTCAACTTGCTACACGGTATGAGTGTAGAAAGCCACTCACAGAGAGTGACTTGGGACAGACTCCGTTTGCAGACAGCTCTAGACTTATGATGGCTCGTCTTACAATCTCTCTGCTTCAGGGAGTTATCAAAAGCCGTCGGATCTACGTAGACACTGTACTATGCTGAGTTTTGGACGTGGATCTTCTCCTGGATTAATGATTTGTCTGGTTTTCTGGATGCTTGGCCTGGTCACTTCCTAATCAAGAAACTCCCACCTCTCTGTAGTGTGCCATGCTACTGAAATAGGTTTTCCTTTAGGATGTGTGCAGCAGGGGCAGACCTATGCAGGACTGTCTAGACAAGACCAACCGAGGCAGACTCAGGATTCATGGCCAAGGGCTGGGAGGAGGCAGACTCAAGAGTGACTGACTGGACAGGATTCTCTTGGAGTGATGAAAACATTCTAGAACTGGACAATGTGATGGTTGTAGAGCACAACAAATACACTAAAGACCGTGTGACGGTTGTACATACAGCACAGTAAATACACTAAAGACCGTGTGACGGTTGTACATACAGCACAGTAAATACACTAAAGACCGTGTGACGGTTGTACATACAGCAAATACACTAAAGACTGTGTGACGGTTGTACAGCACTGTAAATATACTAAAGCCACAGTGTCACACCCTGGAAGTCAGGGTTCCTGTTGGTTTGTGAAATGTGTCTCCATGATGCTCTTGTTGGATAATTTGTCATGTCCCTGATCTCATATTATCATCACGGGTCCTACATGAGTGAAGGGACCAGATACTGAGGGGAGGTTATGTGGGCTCGTGCACACTGTGTCTATGAATGAGGTCAGCACTCTGCAGGCTGGTGTGGCTGAGGCATGTTAGTTAGGTCCCTGGAAGGCCAGAGTGGTGGAGCGTGGCTATAGAGAGATTGAAGGGATCAAGGCCAGAAGCCTTAGTCCCTAGGGAACAGGCCTGTCAGCATGCAATGGAGCCATCTTTAGTGGTAAAGAAATCCAGCCAAGACATGGTCTCACGTGCTCACCTAGCACTCCGTATTTCCCTTCAGCCAGCACCATGCCTCTAGGGTTGTTGAAAGGCACAGGAGAGGAAGAGAGAGGAGAACAGCCCAGAGGGAGAGCCTGTGAGGCTCCGGTCACCAGGACTGTCCCTGAATCAGTGTTCCAGCTATGACCAGTCTGCCACAACCTTGAATGCCCCCTGTTGCCCTAACCCTGGCTAAAGTGGGTGCAGGAGGGCATGGACTCTGTGGCGGGCACAGCCCCTACATGGGCCTGCCTAGCTGGCCCTCCCTGTCACAGGACCCACTCATCCTGCATTTCTGTTCAGCTAGGGCTTCTGGGGATCCCCATGGTGGAAGACTGAGTCCATGGATACATGAGTGGAGTCACCCAGATCTTAGGAGGCAGCTTCCTTACGGTACTTGCCGCAACAATTAGCAATTTGAAGGATAAGTTGCTGTGGTGGTTTAAGAATGGCCCCCATAGGTTCATGTATTTTAATATTTGTTTCCGGTTGGTGGAACTAGTGGGAAGGATGAGGAGGTGTGGCCTTGTGGGAGGAAGAGTGTCACAGGAGGCAGGATTTGAGGTCTCAAAGGCCCATGTCATTTCCAGTTAGCTCCTCTACTTCCTACTTGCTGATGAAATATAAGTTCTCGGCTACTGCTCCAGCCCCATGCCTCCCTGCCCTGGGCCACACTCTCCACCATGATGGTCACAGACTCTAACACTCTGGAACCATGAGTATAGTGGTATTTTGTTTATGTTTTAATAAATAAAGCTTGCCTGAAGATCGGAGGATAAAACTAAACCACTAGAGGCCAGACAGTGGTGTCACACACCTTTAATCCCAGGATTTAGGGGACAGAGGCAGATGGATCTCTGTGAGCTCAAGGCCATCCTGGGCTACACAAGATCAGTGCAGAAACAGATCCAGGTGGTGGTGGTTCGCACCTTTAATCCCAGTACTAGGGAGTCATGCCTTTAATCCCAGCACTAAAGGGAATATAAGACAGGAGGAGACAGAGGCTGGGGGCTCAGTCTGCAGTCTGCCAGCCTTGGTAGCGGTAAGACTTCTCTAGTGGCTTGGCTGTTTTGCTTTTCTGATCTTCAGCTTGAGCCCCAATATCTGTCTCTGGGTTTTTATTATTCATGCTACACATGAGCCTTTTCTAAGTTTCTTTGGCCTCACTTTGTTATGGTAATAGAAAACTTAACGAGACATTTCCCTTCATCTTTTACTGTTTATTCCATCCCCACATTAAAATTATGATATTTACTCCCAGTTTATTATTCGTGGGTTCTTGTTCATGTTGCATTTGCCGATCAGCCCCCAGACTTTGCTGTTTTTATGTTTGGTATCGTCGAGCAGGAGCAGATCACCTCTTCTGTTTGATCTCGACTCCTGCACTCTAAAATGCTTTTCAACTAGTTCTGCATAGCCCCCCAGTGTTCTTTATTGCCCTTTGTTTGAGCTGGGTTATAGGTGAGATTTCTCTTTTTATTCTCATGCTTTTATTTATGTGGGTATTGTCTGAGCCTTGCTGTTTTAATCAACATCATTATTGTTACTGATTTCCTTGCATTTGGCACTTAGGCTATTTACAAACAGCAGTGTTAAGTGTTTTGTTTTTGTTTTTTTGTTTCTGTTTTTTTAGTCAATCCCTTCCTTCTTCCTCCTTTACTCCAAATTTCCAGGGTCATATTGCTCGTGTTTCCCTAATGAGGATGCAGTGGTCCTTAGATTCAGCATCCTGTAGCAACCATCACATTTGTGTGCACAGGGCATCTTCACTCAGGAATGGGCTGTCTATCAGTTTGCTGAGTATTTTCTCAAATGCTGGCAACTACCCTGTGGTTTTGACATCCTGTAGCTGTGAGAGATCAGGGGCTCCTGCATGGTGAGCCACAGTCATTCCGAGATTCACCCTGCCTTCGTTAGAGATGCTTTTCTTCTGGCTGCATCTGGCTTGCTGAGTGGAGCTTCAGATCTGAGTTCTGAACAGAATCAGCCTATGCTTCTCTCTTGTCAGTGTGTCTGCTGGCTGAGGACCCAAGCCCTAGTTTGTCCCCAAAATAAATCCTGCGATGTTTGTGTGTTTGATGCTTTCAGCTGCTGGTGTGCTCCACCTATGGTGTCTCAGGCCAATGGCCATCTTAAGTTGAGCCCTGCTCAGAGTCCGGAAGTCTGGGCTTTGATGACACGACCTCCTTCTGACTTCCTACTTTCCTGACTTTGCATTCTCGAGGAGGATGACCAGCCCTAGCTGCTCCTATCCGGGCCTGACATCACCTTTGACTTGCTCATCTGTGCTTCCTCCGTGCTCCCCTCTTGCTTATCTTTCTGAGGTGTTGAACACACATGCCGAAAGTCAGGTATCCAGGTGCTCTGAGCGGGCGCACGTTGCTTCTGCGGTTCTTGCTCTTCCCTGCACGGTAACTGCCTCTAGTCAGTTATCGTTGCCATTCACTACTAAGTATGTGGGCACTGAGATGTCCTGCAGCTGTCACAGCTCATGCTTCTTGACAGCCCTGCTCTCCTCTTTTCACTAGTAGAGTCCTCTATCCGTCGCTGGAGTTTCGGGAGTGTAGCACTTGCACACGCTGCGGATGGCGTGCCGGATGCCACACTCCAAATCCTCACTCAGTGGGATGGGAGGGAGGAAAAGCTCTGACTTGGGATTCACACAGTCTTTACGTCTCGTAGTGGCCTTGTATCTGTGCCCCTAACTACTCACACTGGCTTTCCTCCTGACAAGCAGGAAACATAACGCTTAGTGGGCAACAAGAAGCCCGAAAGTGAGCACACCCAGACATGGTGTGCCCTCACACCCTGTGACTTGAGCCATAGCTTCTGAACGCTCTGGTTTCCCCACATCAGAAGGGTACTGTGAGGATGCCATGCACTGTTATATGGAAAGCTCTCAGAAGAGTGGCTCGAGACATATACATTAAGTAACTTCTATCACCATTAATTCACCACCGTCATCATCACGGTCATCATCATTGTGATCGTGACATCGTTACCAATATCACTATCATCAACCACTACCAATATCATTAGCTACCGTCACCACCACCATTACCATCATCATCATCACCATCACAATCATCCCCATCATCATCACCATCATACCACTGGATGCCAGAGCTGCCCTGGAAGAGGGGAGACCCAGAGGCTTCTGAGGGGGCTGGAAAGGAGCTTTGACTGTACAGCTGTGTCAGGCCATGTGATTCCTAGCCCTGTTTATGACACACTCCAGGGAACAGGTGGCTAAGTGACTCCAGGTCCAGCAGAAAATGACACAGGCCAATTGATAGCTGGAGACCAGGCGCTAGGACACCTGAAAAGTGTTTGGACTGGAGCCTCAGGGTATCAAAGACCTCAAGCTCTGGCTTCTCCGAGTCAGGGGACATGGCTGTCATCCTTTCCAGAGCTGCCTCTGCTCAGACACCCGTGATGTCTAGCTGATCTCAGCCCGAGTTCTTAGGTGTGAAAGGCCAAAGTTTGGGAAGGGGAAATGTCTACCATAATTCTGTCTGAACAGGCTTATTGGGCAAATCTCAAGCTAGAATCAACAGAGAAGACAGACGGAGGTGGTATGGTGCCCTGGTAGCTAGCTCCTTTGGTGAATGATATCTCCAGCCTTCAGCTGCCCTCCAGCCCAGGGAGGGCATGGAACAGTCTGCATTCCATACATTCATCCAGCAAACTTCTGGTTGTATAAACTCCATCGAGTATGTGGGGCAAGAGGACCCAGCAGGCCCAGAGCCCATCAGGCCCTGGCTTCTCATATGCTGTCATGACTCTAAGGACAGCACTTGTTCTCTTTAGCTATGGTTCATCCACACTTTCTCACCTCTGTGTGAAGCAGTTTGGTGACTACCTTACAGTTATTCACTGCTCCTTGGTGGGCTATCTCTAGATTTTTGCTATTTTCTTAAGTATTTTTTTGTTTTATGTGTGTTAGTGTTTGTCTTTATGTATATGTTAACCATCTGCATGCAATGCCTACTACAGGCAGAAGTGGGCATCAGTTCTCCTGGAGCTGGAATTACAGAAGGCTGTGAGCTGTCATATGGGTGCTGAAACTGAACCCAGCTCCTCTGCCAGAGTAACTAGTACTCTAACCACTGAGCCACCGGCCTCAGATGTCTGCTACTCTTGTCTTTTAAAATACTGGGGCTGGAGGCTGGAGCCGATAAAGTGTTGGCTTGCAAGTGGGCAGACCTGACTTTATTAAAAAGGAGGGGGGAAGAGGCTGCGTATGGTGATGCCCCCTTACACTTCCAGCACTAAGGAGGTAGAAAGGGGGGAATCCTGGAGACTCACTGGCCAGTCAGTCCAGACTACTGGATGAATTCCCAGGCCAGTGAGACCCTGAGTCAAGAAACAAGGTTGTTGCCTCCTGAGAAATGACATGATGGTTGGCCTTCGACCTCAACACATCTGCATGCGTGCACGCGTGCAAGCGTGTGCACACGCACACACACACACCAAGATTCTTAAAGCCTAAGGATATATTTTAGTAGGAGAGTACTAAACATGCCCAAAGCCCTGAATTCTTTCGCCAGCACTGAAAAAAAATATTGCTACAATTATACTTGTTACATAGTCATAAAATTTTATCCACAGAGCCTGCACACATCCAACTTTACAAGGCAATGTGGAATTACTTTCCAAAATGGTAGTTTCAATATAAACTTCATCATATATACATTTAAATCAGTTAAGATAAGTTCATTGGTCTGGTCATAGATTGCTTTATTATTTAAATTAGTACAGTAACAGTGGCTTTACAGACACATTGAAGAGCAATTATATTATTTATAATGAGTCTTTTAAAAACTATTAACTAATCATAGTAATGCTTTTTTTAAAAAAAAAAATGGGCTTGTCAAAACACCATAAGTTGTCCAGAGAATGTTCCAGCCACTTATCGTGTCCTGAGCTTGCTTCTGCCCGTATTCTGTTTTATGACGCCAGGTGGCCGATACATGTGTCCAGTGGGGTAAAGTTTATATATGAGGTCTCTAAACTCCATGTCTTCCTCCAGCATGTACAATAAAATGTGGCACCAGACCCAAGAGGCCCTCAATTCTCTGCTTGACAAGGATTCTCAGAAGATGACCGAACCACAAAGAAACAAGGTCTTAGTCTTCCAGATGTTAGCTACCTTCTACATAAAGTATGTGCAGATCTTCAGGAACATGGAGAATGTCTACGACCAGATCGTTCATCCACAGAAGCGCATGCTGATTCGCAAGGTCCTGGATGGTGTGATGGGTCGCATTCTGGAATTGAAGAACGAGATGGTAGAGTTGGAGCTGACAGAGTTCCATTATTTTGACGATATCTTACAGGACCTGAAGTTGGCGCCGGTAAGGTTTTGTTATTGTTTTCCTCTTTCGGCTTTTGTTGTAAATGAGATACTTAAGGCTGTGTCCCATTGTCTACAGACTTTTTAGCCATGCTTGCATGTGACGACCTGGTTGAGTTAAAAGCCTGACCACTTTCTTCACTTAAACCTCACCAGCATGAGGAAGGCTTTGGTTGCTTCCTTGTCTGGGTGGACCAATCTTGGAGCAGCTCGGGGGTCTGACATTGAAGTCCTGTTATCACAGAGATGCCACAATGTCATGGTGGTTGAAATGGAGTTAGTTGACTGACCTTCTCACAAATACCCCATAGCCCAAAGGTTCCCATTTTCTCTGGGCCATGCCACCAACTCTCTGGTCCACAATGTCCTTCTGCCTGTGCTACCCCATTGTCACTTGGATGATAGTCTTGAATGGCCGGGACTTGTGCCCAGCTGAATGAATGTCTTCCTTTGCTTTGGGTCAGTACTGACACTGTACGTTTATATCTATGGCCTTTGTTCTTTAGGTTCTGTAGGAGGAGGTAACCCTCTTTATGGCCCAGGGAGTCTCCCTCTGCCACCTGGTGACCTGGGCACCTTCTGTGGTCACTCAGCCCCTGCCACTGAACCTTTCCCTGCCTACTGACAGACATTTGCCTGAAGTTTTTCTAATATGGTGAGTGGATGGACTTTTAAGGGCCACTGGACATCTCGTTTCTTCCGGTGTACGCCCTGTGAGCTCACCTTCCATTTTGAAAGGGTGATTCCCTCAGGTAAAGTTAAGAAGAGAAAATGTCTTTACCACAGAGCCTAATGTTTCTTCACTTTGAAAATATTTTGACTTTTGGAAAGGCCATTCCTTTCTCCGGTGAAGATTCTTTTAATATTGTTATCTGATGACGTCAGAATAGACTAAAAAGAGCAATTGGAACGAGTCAAGGCATTCCAGAATTCCCATGTGCCTTCCTGCATTTCCAAGAACAAAAGTCAGCCGCCAGATGCAGTCAGGTGTGCTTGATGCCCCTACCCCACCACCCTGCCCAGGTGAAAAGAGGAAGAACGGCCTAGGCCAAATGTGTATCGCTTTTTATTGAATTACAGTTCAAATTTAATTAGTAAGGTGACATTCAATGTCTAAATCTAATTTCAAGGCTATTAAACAATTACAGTCTAAAGAGGTTTGGGGACCCACATGCTGGGCTACCTCCATTTTTCCTGCTATTTACACTGCCCCAACCTTCAGCTGGTCGCCATCCTTACAACTAGGAAATGCTGCGGCTGTGAGAAGCCAGCTGTGCCCAGGGAGGAAAGGGGTGATGGGAACAGCCATCTCCCGGAAGTCTGTGCTGTAGGATGACATTAACACTGTTTTCCTCCAGCCTTCGAACTGATGGACAAGCCGCGTGATGTCTTTGACATGCAGGGGCCAGAACACTGGACCAGCAGTAGCGTTTGGGTTCCGTGAACAGTGTCCTGGCAAAGAAGCAAGCCTTGGGAATATTCCAGCAATTGGGGTGGACCATTCCTGCCAGCATCCTCTTGATCACTGTGGCCATTCTCTCACGTAGTCCACGCTCCTTGCTGTTTTTCTGGCCAGCCCCCAACTATTTGCATGGTAGGACTTAAGTCCTCACCACAGAGACCGGAACATCAAGGAAATTATATCAGGCTGACCCTCCCTGAGAGAATCTGTAGCCAGAAAATGATGGTATCTGCCTCTGGTCTGAACTGGCCTCCCGAGCTGGCAGCTGGAAGTTGTGAAGAATGGAGCAAGAAGAGCTACTAGAGCCAGAGAGAAGGCTGGGGAAGAACAGCAGAGCATCTTTATCCCCCCACCCTTTCCTTGGCCCTGTGACTTCCCCAAAATGCTTGTTATGCCCAGATTTCGGAGTCTCCCCAAAATCAACAAGGACACCGAGTCCCGCATCTAAAAGTAAAGAGCTTTTATTCTTATTCAAGTTTGAACTCAAACTCTCCTTGTGTCCAATGCATTAGCACAATCAGAGATCCCTGAGCTCATTTGGGGTGGGGTTTTTATAGTAGAAGTTGGGCTGAGGGATTTCTAAGGTTCAGGATCCCTGATTGGCTGACATTTGTCTAGGGATGCCCTGGTGAAAAGGGGATGGGTGTGTGCTGGACTAAGGAACTCCAGGTGATCCTATCTACAATGGTTGGTATTTTCTTGGGATGCTGATTTGTCTGTTCCTGGGTGGTGACTGGATGGTCTCAGTTTGTGGTCTTTTCTGGAGTCAGGTATTGCCTTAGGGTAAACTGAGACTCAGGCCTACTTTCTGGTTTGTCTCTATATAGAGCCTTTCTTGGCAGGTGTGTACAAAGCTGCCCTAGGCCTACATGTCCATAAGTAACTACTGGGATTTGAACTGAGGTCTTCATGCTGTGCAGCAAGCACTCTGACCCACTGAACCTTCTCTCTACCTGACCCCCAAGCAAGTCTCGGTGATTCACTCATCCCACCATAATTCTAGGTGCATTTGAGTCCTGGCATCCTAACGAAATGGTCTTGCGTTTATTCTCTCTTCTTCAGCAACAGTTGGATGTCCCCATACCCAGGTATTTTTTGAAGGAGAGGTTAGAAGTCATAAAAGGAAGAGAGGAAAACCTCGCTCAGATCTTAAGTGAATGTGGATTGAACCTTCCCAAAACAGTATGTATCATTTTAACAGATGTCCTTCATTGTCTGTAAAACCTCCTCCTCCACACCCCCAACTGTCTGGGAAACATTTGCCTTATTCTCAAGTAGAGAAAAGTGCCTCCCCTCTCTGCTTGCTATATGAAGTCTATAAGAGATTATGTAACTTTGGGGGTGATTGTTAGGGATTTGTTATGTTTGCTTTATGTGAAATAAAAATCAAATGATAATGCCTTGTGCCTTACATGGGGAGCCATAAGAATGAGCCCGTTACCAGCTGGCCTTTCCTCTCTGATTCACCAGGTAAAGTCAGAACATAAACCCACCAAGTTCAGAATTCCCAAACTCAAAGCTTACTATGTGTTCTCAGTTGCTCTCTAGCCTTTTATGAGTTCTGAGTGACATTTAGATCACCTAGAAGGACTGCCACCGGGAAAAGAAAGGCCTGGAAGAGGTCTCAGGGAGTGAAGGGTTTTGTACACAGGCATAAGGACCTGAGTTCAAACCCCCAGACCCCTTGTAAAGCTGGATGCGGCAGCAAATGCGCCTCTGCCCCTGCAGGGACACTCTCTCCCATGATACTCCTCATTCTTGTACGGCTCCCTCCCCTGCTTTCAGGACAACAGTGGCCTCACCTCGATCCCATTCAGGTCTCCATGGGCCTCTAAAGACTCCCAAAAACCTTACTTATGTTTGTCTGTACCCCATAAAAATGGCACACTCCAAGTACCTAGCCCTGTTGTTACATACCCCTCTTGAGACCCCATAGTCTGCAGCATGAACCCAAATTCTTTTGTTTATGTGTGTGTGTGTGTGTTTTTCACATGCATACAAGTGCATGTATGTGCACTTGTATGTTGAGTGTATTTCTCAATCAGTTTTTACATTACTTTCTGATATTGATGCATATACATGCAACACTTGTAATTACTATATATATATATATATATATATATATATATATATTCTCCCCCCCCCAAGCTGGAGCTCCCTGATTCATAGACTGGTTGACCACTGTGCCAAAGATCCAGTTGCCTATGCCCCACATGCACCCCTGCACTGGGGTTCCTGACACACACTGTCACACCCAGCCTTTTAGCTGAGTGCTAGAAATTCACACTCAGTTCCTCAGCTTTGAGAGTGACTGGGTCCCAGGCCCCACCTTTTCACACACAGGTGCAAACAGTCCTGAACGGTTTAGCATCCTCATCACTGGTCAGTCTACAGAGGGCTTCAGCCTTTTACTTGACGGAGGGATGCATAAGTCCTCTTCTCAGAAGCACGGTTTCCATTGCTTTTTCTCCCATTAAGCAAATGATGGGATTTGCAGCATCCATCAGTATGTCTGATGGACATTTCTGGTCATCTCAGCTCTAATTTGCTATGGAACTAAACTTTTGGGGTGCCACTTAGCTTTCTGTTTGGAAGGATCATGGTCTGGTCTTTGGGGGCTAACCTTGGTTATTAACTTATCACACCTGGGAAGAGGGAACCTCAACAGAGAAATTGCTTCCATCAGATTGGAAGTGTCTATGAGGATTTTCTTTCTTTTTACAAAAAATATTTGGTTGGGCTTGTTTTTTGAGAATTCTGTATGTGAGCCCCATGTTTGCCCACTCACCACAATCTCTTCCTGTGACTCTGCCTCCTTCCAAATTTATAGTCTCGACTTTAGTTACTATTGTTGTGTATACAGTATATATATTGTGTAATATATATTATATATGTGTGTAATTGTATACAGTTATATAATATATAATATAAATAAATAATTATATATTTATAATTCATTATAAAGTAATTACAATTGTTTCATGTATATGCATAGACATTATATATTACATGTAGTTGTATATAGTTATATAATATATTTATAATTTATTATAAAGTAATGAATGTGTGTATATATGGATATATATATATATATATATATATATATATATATATATATAATCTACAACCTACTAAGTCCATTTAACATTGTTCATGTGTACATGTGTTCTGAGATGATCACTTGAGACTGGGCATCCTATTTGGGAACCTGTCCCTGGAAGAAACTAATTCTCCCTCCCTTAGTAGTGTGAGGGCACTTCCTTGATTGCTAGCTGTAGGAGATCCTGCCCGTGGTGGGTGGTAGCATCTCTGGGCAGATGGGCCTAGGCTTTATAGAAAGGTAGCTAACGGGGAGCCTGGAAGCAAACCAGTACAGCGTGCCTCTGTGCCTCTGTGGTGCTTGCTTCATGCTCCTGACCTGAACTCCTGCCCTGGCTTCCCCTGATGATGAACTGAAATTTAGAAAGTGAAAATGAGCCCTGTCCTCTCCGAGCTGCTTTGGTCATGGTGTTTGTCACAGGAACAGAAAAGCAAGCTAGAACACAGTCCCTAAGTCAGAATCACAGTTCGTTGCTGCTGTAGTATAGTATACAGTTGGCTGCAAGCACAGTTCACTGCTGCTGTAGAATGGTATACAATTGGCCGCAAGCACAGTTCACTGCTGCTGTAGTATAGTATACAGTTGGCAGCAAGCACAGTTTACTGCTGCTGTAGTATAGTATACAGTTGGCAGCAAGCACAGTTTACTGCTGTTGTAGTATAGTATACAGTTGGCAGCAAGCACAGTTTGCTGCTGCTGTAGTATAGTATACAGTTGGCAGCAAGCACCTTTACATGCTAAGCCATCTTGCTGGTCCAGTTCAACATGTATAAATATTGATTTGCCTATTTTTTTTAAATTTTTGCAGAAATATACTGTAAAGATCCTAGCATTTGAAGAGGCTGTAAAACTGATCCAGATTGCGGAGCGAGCAAGGCAGGGCCGTCTCAGGGCGATGTTCATGAGGCAGATCTTCCTCCAGGAGTGCAGAGCCAAGGAGATCAAGCTGCTGGGCCACAGACTAGCTGACACGGGCCTGGCGGCTCTGCAGATCCAAAAAGTATGAACATGGTGGCGCTTCTGGATTGGGGGTGGGAGGGGCAGAAAACACGTTTCAGTCTTGCGGCTGAGCTCTGAAATTCAAAACCCAAAGCTCTACCTATAAGAAAGCTGGGTTGAGTTAGTAAACCCCACAAAGATTTATTGGCTTACCCACCCTAGAGAACCATTGTCTTGTTTTTATTTTGTTTGTTGTAAACTAGGAAGTTTAAGATGCAGAACACTGTGTCCAAAGACTTCCAAAAGGGCCCCGATAACTGTTGGAAAGAACGTTGCTAGGAGCTTGCAAGGATGTAAACCCACAATGAGATTTTTTAAAAGCTGCATCCGTGCTGCGACAATTGCAGAAGGGAGACGCCAGGAGCAACTCCTGGGGCCTTGAGGACAGTCTCACCTCTTAGCACATTCCAGCCACCACCACCAAAGGGCCAGAGCCTAGGTCTTCCTGCTAGTGGGGCCCTAGGGGCGGATTTCTCTCTTTATATAGTGTTACTAGTAGTGTATCCTTTTACCTAAGGGAGGGCAGGGTTACTTGTGGAAAGATGAAAACTACAGCCATGTGGCACAAATCAGAATTAAGAAGAAAATAAGTATAGGGACACACTGCAGAGCCTGAGGGGCAGGACACTGTCCCCAGCTGTGCCTGGGTTGTCACGGGAGAGGGCTGGCTGTGGGAAAGGCAGTCAGATTCCTTTCTTTGCACCTCTCCGGCCTCTGCACCCTAAGCTAAGCTTTGGTTTTACAGTTTTTGGAAGCGCCTGAGCTGTTACCTCCCATGTTCCTTTGGAAGGTTTTAATTGTAAAACAGTGAAGTACTGTCATTAGGTACAGCCTCATTCTTCTGACTTCTAGAAGCATCTCTTGAAGACTCCCAAGTAAGATTTAAGAGCAACTATGAGTCATTTCTGTAATTATCCTTCTTTAAAACTGTTGTCTGTGGGGCTGCAGAGATGGCTCGGTGACTAAGAGCATCAGCTGCTCTTCCAGAGGACTTGGGTTCAATTCCTAGCACCTACACGGTGGCTCACAACCATGTCTAACTTCAGTTCCAGGGGGTCTGATGCGCTCCTTTGGCCTCTGTGGTTGTTGGTACCTGTGTATTGCACACATAGGTCAAACACTCATACACATCACATAAACTAAAAATGTAAGAAAACTATTGCCTCGTCCAGCCTTTGATAGGAGAGTTTGCATCTAATCCTATTTTAACTTGTGCCATGATGCTCTTTTCTGAAGGGAAACAGAGGAGTGATGGACCTGGGGGATTTGGAAGGTGCAGGGGGAGGAGCAGGGATTGGAAGGAAGGATGCGGTTGGGATGCATTGTCTGAGAGAATAAATGAAAAAAAAGGGGGAAGGAAGGAAGGGAGGGAAGGAGGAAGGAGAAAAGAAAGCTGTTGCCTGTTATCCCAGCATTTGAAAAATAATTCAGTGGCACCCACAAGTGCAGGCTGGAGTTGGCTGTCACAATACCCGGACTGGGCAGTTTCTACAGGAGATGTCTGCTGCGAGTAACCATGCATTTGTTCGCAGGTTTGGCGAGGTTTCCATCAAATCAAGAAGACAGTGAAGGAGAGGGAAGAGGAGATGGTATTCCTGGGGATGGTAAGTTTGCTACTTGAAGAGTAGATTCCGTAGGATGTGTGTCTTCTTAGTGAGTGTCTGAGAAAAGAGGGGAGAGAAGAATCGGTGACTTCCGGCAGGAGACCCAAGAGGTTGGGGAGTGTCCCTCACGTGTCCCTGCAAGGATGCAGAAGATAGTAGACAGGCATCGAGCCCTTGACTTCCTGAGTGTCCTGCTGGTGAGACTGGAATTGCTTTGGTCCAGCTGGTATTGAAGGGTTCGTTTCCACAGTGATGAGTAAGTCATGGGTGCATTGCCGTATAGCTGTGTCAACACAAAACAGCAGCTTAGGCAACCACCTGTGTTATGGCATGGATCCCTGGGTCAGGAGTCTGGCATAGCTCAGTTCTCTGCCTAGGGTGGGTAACTGTTGTACAAGCTGGGCCTGTCTCATCTAAGGCTCAGGTGGGGAAGGATCTGCCTCCAAGGTCACGTGGCTGCTGGCAGCATCCCTTGTGGACAGTCAGAGCAGGAACGTCAGTTCCCTGCCAGCTCTCAGCTGGAGATAGCCCAGCACCTGACTTCATGGACGTGGAGTCTCCCACGTGACATCTTGCTGCCCCCGAGACAGGAGAGAAAGAGGGTACACTCATGGTACGCAGACCTTCACCACTGTGCTATTGTTAGTTAAAAGTGAGTGACAGGTTTCCTCAGAAGTGTTACAGCAGGATTTAGGGACCAGGAGGCAGGGGACCAGCATGCCTTTAGAGTCTGGTGTAAGGGGTCCTCAGTGCCTTCTGTGCATGGAGTATGGGCTTCATCTCATGTGTCCTGAGCCGAGCCCGTGGCTCCCAGGGCAGAGCTCATGGCTCCCAGGGCACAGCCCATGCCTCCCAGGGCAGAGCCCATGCCTCCCTGCTGAAACCCATTCTCGCACCCCCCCACACACACACCCCAGGCCTGCTAAAGTACTGGGTATTGTTTCCTGTCAACGCTCAGGAGACCTCCTGTGTCCTTTACACATGACCTTCCTTCAGAGCCCAGGAATTCAGCTCTGTAACACTCACATCACCAGAGATGTGGATCATTCCTGATGGGGCCTCGCCTGTCGACAGGCTCAGTTTCCATTAAAGGAAGTTTTAGCTAAGAATACCAGAACCCCAGCAAGTCTCACAGCAACAGCTTCAGGTGCATCACATGGAGGCAGCCGAATTGCTGGGGGCTCCACTGCTCCCCTCAGATAAAAACACACCTACAGCAGCGCCGACAGGACAAGGACTAACCGCCTGGAGAGCTCCGCTGAGGCTAAGCAAGAAAAGAAGAGATAGGAATATAAATATACCATAAATAACCACAGACACTAACAGGCTGGGAAAAAAACTATTAGATCGTGTCTTGAACCTCTGCAGTCATAAATTAGAAGACACTAAAGAGAGAAGCTCGTCTCAGGAAATATAAATATCAAAACTCACGGAAGCCGCAAGAAACCTCAATGAAGCCAGTCACAGTAGCAGAGATTCTCCAGCCTCTAGGTTAGTCAGGGCCTGGGAGAATTAGGCAGGCACCAAGGCAGAGGTGTTTGCCCAGGGCTTCAGCAAGGTCATTCAGGAAACCACTGGATGGAGCTGAGCCCAGTCAGCGCAGTGGAGGTGGCTCGGGTTCTCCTGTGTACCACATAGGGATGACCTGCTGTGTGGCTGAGCTCCAATGCCGGTGCGCATTGAGTTGGCCTGGTTGGACCTTGGGGCTTGGAGCTCTTGCCCTCGAAGGTTGAGAGGTGCCTCACATCCTGCTCCATTCCTCAGCCCAAGCGTTCAGCTACCATCAGACTCTGGAGAGGGCCCTGCAAGACCATCACAAAACAAAACCAATATGATACAGTTGATTTTCACTTGGGAGACAGAGTGAATTACCAACAAGAAGTGGCCTTAGTCATATGCCATTTCTGTCGTAGTTGGGGCAGTGCAGACAACAGTGAAGTGTGAACCAAGACTCTGCTCCCCACCAGGGAAGCAAAGTGCCTGCTCGGTGCAGTCCCTGCTACCACCTCCCTGTCACCTCCCCGCTCCACTGGCCTGCTGTAGGCTGCTGTTTTTGGGTGTTCTTATAGAGAGGAACCGGGACTTACTTTACATGCTTTTGAATTACTGTTGGAAAGTCAATCATAAACAGTTTCTGCTCCCCTCTCCCAAATGACATGTGGTAAAGAGGACAACAAACATCGGGTCAGAATAGAGAAAGAAAAAGATAGAAGAAATAAATCCTGGCTATGGAGTTCAGGTCAAGAATAACACTGAACATTGAATAAGCCATCTGAAATGTCACCTGCTCACAACGGGCCCTCCCATAGCAATCATCAACAAAGACAGTCCCTCGCAGATCTGCTCACGGGCCACCCTGACCTGGGCAGTTCCTCTGTTGAGACCGCCTGTAGTCCCAGTGCGCAGGAGCAGAAAGGATAGATCCCTGGAGGAAATCAGCTAACCTAGACCAATCTGGTTCGAGTGAGTGACCCAGCCTCCATGTATAAACAAGGTAAGGGGTAATCAAGGCATGTGTCTGAATACACAGGTGTGCCTACACACATACAAATGCCCACACAAACACACACACACATACACACAGGTATACATGCAAAAAATATCCTAGTTATATTGGTTGTTCTTACATTAAAAATCAAATTAGCAATAATGCCATGTGCTTAAGCACTGTATGGAATTTCACAATGGTCAAACTTTGGACTCAACAGCTTCTATTTGAGTAAACTTCTATTTAATGAGATGCATTAGCCTCCATTTACTGGCTATCTTCTGTATACAAAAATAAATCCAGAACCCCAGGCAACAGTCAAAGGCCATTGCATGCACCCTCCAATCTTGACTGCCTGCCCTGGTACCATTCAGAGGTGGATCTCTCGTGTATAACTCAATCTCCTCCGCTTTCCTCTGTAATTCCATGTGCTGGGCTCTAAAGAGGGCCAAGCATAAGAACTTCTCCACAGTGCATGTAGTTTGCCCAACATGAAGAGAACAGCTCCCCCGCTGTGTGTTCCGTGCATGCTTTGTCTGCACGCCTTTTACCCAGCATGCCGCCTCTTGATAATACATGTTCTATTGGAATTTTAACCACTGAGAAATACATGGATTCAATTTGTGAAAGAATGTTATCTGCAGTTTGCTGGCTGATGACCATAAAAAAAAATAAATCCACTATCCCCAACCAAAGGAATGTTTTCAATTGAGTATATTTTCCACTCTGTCATTGATAAGGCTGTTGCCTCCTCATTTCAAATCTCAGTTTTCCATGTGTTCATCTCAATCCATTTTGTCAATGTAAAAGCCAGTGGTTTAGCCGCTCCCAGCTGTGCTTTTACCTTCACATGAGCCCACCACACTTCCAGGAGCGAGGGCTTGATCTCTGAAAGCGAAATCAGAGCAAAGGGCATCGCTCCGTCTCCTACCCCAACCAAATGTTTCTCTTAGCCATTGGTATATCAATCATTTTATTTTGATATTGCCATTTTAAATATGTAGGTTATGGAGTCTACAGAGGAAAATAAATAGGGTCTAAAACTCACATAGAGCTATTTTAATTGGCAGAGCCAATGGCGTGGATCCCGGGAAAGGAAACTTAATGAACACAATCCATTCTCTTCTGCGGACCCCTCAACGCCATTTGTCCTGTAGTCAGGGCCCTGTATGTTTTATGTTACCCTGAGCCATCACTATTTGCATTGTAATGAGGAACTCTGAGGGCACTTATTAAAGGGAAGGCCTGACCCTTCAACAAACATAATCAGAATCCTGAAAACACCACAAAGCCCTATTCGCTTTCAGACTCTACCATCAAACAGGCTATTTTCTCCATGGCTTCGGGGCTAATAAATTAGAATTTTATTCTTGTTAACCGCAGCACAGTCTGGGATAGCCTGTGACTGAGGCTCTCAGAGCCCCTGCTGTATCCTTTAACATTGTAAGTGCTGCCTGTCCCCTAAGTGTCCCAGCCACAAGCATTTCTTCTGCACTCACTGTCCCCTTGGGGGGCCTCTGGTTAGCACCTTAGAGGCGGACTTGTTACAAAGCCTGGCTCTGTACCTCGCCAGGGGCAGGGCCCCAAGTCTCCCGCACCTTCCCTGGGAGTCTTGGTTTCCTCTTGGCCAGCACAGTACTGCCTGCCTCAGACAAGACAGACTTTAAAGGGAGAGGCCTTGCCAGAGTGTGAAGGGGGAAACCCCTCTGAGGAACGTGGTTGATGTCATCTTAGAACATGATCAAATGTATGATGGGTGAGTGATCCTGAAAACAAAAACACCTTGAACAAGCCCTGAAAGTTCATGTACAGAAACGCAACATACTTCAAGCTAACCTCTGTGTAAAACACATGTATCGAAGACCTAACGATTCGGCGTGTCTAGGATCTCATTTGCTACGCCCTACTGAATCTGCATACCTAAACTAACCTGTCAAAATTTGATCTGGAAAAGCCCATGAGGCTGAGTTTGTCTTGATGCTTCCTTACCTAGCTGCAGAGGGGCCTTCTAGAGATTCCCCAAGGCAACAGTTGGGAACCCCTACACTGGGGTCTAGCGTAGGAAAGCCTACAGAGGCTGCAAGCTGTCCCTCCTGCCCACCACGGCCTCTCATGACGAGGTTTCTCTGAAGTGCCCACTGGTCTCTAAAGCTCGCTTCAGCCAGGCACTGTCCCCCATGCCTTTCATCTTGGACACCCAGAAAGGAGAATGCTCATAAGGTCCAGGCCAGCGGGGGCTACAGTGTGAGGCTCTGTTTCAAAAGGAAGCGAGCATGATCCACCTGTGTTGGAGAAAAGGCGAGGCCAGCGCTCTTTTCTTTTAAGTGGGATTTTACCATCCAGTTGCCTGACCTGACATATCTTAGTTTGATTTCAAGTCTTATTTGTGCATGTATGAATATATATTCATTAGATATATTCATGCATTCATATTCATTATATATTCATACATATATGTTATATACCATATAATATATTCATATATATCAATTATATATTAAGAAATAATATTTTATTATTATTGTTTGTTGTTGTTAATATTATGCTTAATTATGGTCCCAGATTTCCAGGACATCAGACACTAAGTCACAAAAATAGTTAGTTTCTTTATCCTCCCTTTGTCCTCTTGCTCCAGGAGTCCCTTATGGGCTCCCCTGAGCTGGTGGCTTGCTTTCATTGATCTCACAGGAGCCCTTTTAAAAAGCCTCGAAATGCTGCACCCACTGTGGGCAAAGCTCAGGGCTCCAGTCAGCCTGACTGGCTCCCATGGGCTCCTGGGCCGGTTGGTGCCACCATGCTGTCCTGCGAGGAGCAAATCACGTGAAGCTGTGTCCAGCTCATAGTGTACATGAACACTGGGCAAGCGTGGTCCGCTCTGCTCTTGAGAAAGCTTAAGACCCTGGGTTAGATCTCGATATCATTTACAACCCAGACATGCCCATTAAAGTGCTAGCGGAGTTTTTTTCTTTGTTTCTTAGCCCATTTAGGTTAGAGAGAAACCAGGAAGGTTTATGTCACCATAAAGTCTTGAAAGGGCGCCGTCGCCGACTCAACAGGGAGAATGCCTTGTGAAAGCCACCGTGTAAGGCAGATCAGCAATAGCCACCAAGTTCAAATGCACGTTGTTTTCAAAGTTTGGTCCACAGCATCTGTAAGAAATGACCTTCGGACAAAGTGTCTTAAAGCCTGAGACCCAGCTAAGAGAGGCATCAAACAAAGAGAGTAAGAGTTGTCTGGACTGGACGCTGGTGGCTGTCTCCGTTAATCCCAGAGGCAGGCGGATCTCTGTGAGTTCGAGGCCAGCCTGGTCTACAGAACTAGTTCCAGGACAGGCTCCAAAGCTATAGAGAAACCCTGTCTCAAAGAAAGAAAAAGAAAGAAAGGAAGGAAGGAAGGAAGGAAGGAAGAAGGAAGGAAGAAAGAAAGAGGGGGAAGAGGGAAGAGGGAGGAGGGAGGGGGAGGGGAGGGGAGGAAGGAAGAAAAGAAAGAAAGAGAGAGAGAAAGAAAGAAAGAAAGGAAGGAAGAAAGAAAGCAAAGAAAACAACAAAGAGTAGCCTCAGTCTGTGTGTCCTGCCTGTGTGACCCTGGGCAAGGCCCTTGATATCTCTGTGCCTCTATTTCCTCACACATAAAGTAGACGTAGTAACCTTCTCTCTGATTACGGCCACTGTGAGGACTAATTGAGTTCATATTTGTAAACCACTCAAACTCGCCTTACAGCACTGACTTTAAATTGTAAGAGCACAAAGGGGACAGACTCAGCCTCGGTCACTGACAACCCAAAAGCTCACCAACACCCTATCCTACCGTAGTACTTAAATAAGCAATTTTTTAAATGCTGGAGTTTTTAAAGAAAGTTAATCAAATGGGCTAGAAAACATTCTTACTCTTTAACAGATTGGTGCTGGCTAAAATGGTGAGTCTTAAAGATTCACATGATCCTTCTCGCAAGAAGACCAAAGAAAAAGATTCTCTTTCCCATAGGCCCTGACTTCTGCTTCTGCCTGTCCTTGCGCAGAGTGGGCATGTCTGTGGACACACAGTGCATACATACACACAGGGGATTCTAAAATGATGGGATGTCCACCAGTTGGCACATTCACGATGGGACCTGATGAAGAGTAGGGTGTTGTGCCCCCTGAGGTCTTCCTCACAGGAAGTCAGAGCCCTGGATGCCAAGGCAGCCTTTCTGAGCCCCTCCCCCAGGCACGAGTGCACAAATGCAGGCCCGGGGACACCTGGTGTGACACGGGCACTAGCTGAGATCTGTTCCTCTGTTTTGGGTGACAACCACCCCACAGAAAGACGTTCCCTGGATAATTGCCAGCACCAAACCGCGTGACTCCCAGTCTGTTTGGGACTGACACACTGAACAGCTTCTTACAAATGACCGTTTTCCCTTCCTAATTTCAACAAGGGTTTTTAAATGCGAAGCCTGTCGAATGTTAGCTAAACATGGACAGAAACGGAGCGTGGAGTCTTGTCGCCCCCCGCCCCCACTCAGGAAGCATCACTTCATGTCGCGTTTCTTCAGCAACATCAATTATTAATGTGTGTGTTTTTTGCTGACAGAGGACCTCGCTGGAAATGTAGGTTTCGTTATTCCGTTCTGGGTCGTTAACTGTGGAGAGCTGGCAAATGTAATGACTTGCTCACATGGGGAGCCTTCATTAAGATGCATTAATCTACAGCCCGTGCATTTCAATACATCGTGTGTTATCATGTTCTCCCTTTCCTTTTAATATCCCTAATTTATTTTTAAATGAGTTGCTGTTTATGTGGCCAGCTAACAAATTGGAATTCATATGACCAGTGTTGCTAAAGAAGATAAGATGTCTGTGCCCAAAGGATGGGATACTCGTTAGCCTAGGATGCAAATTTATTAGAGCCTTCAAATGCAAAAACAGCAAGCGGAGGGAGTTACGAATAACCCAGACGTATTCTTGCCCGAGAAAATCTATATGGAGGAACACGCATGAGCTCTCCCATCTGAATGACACAGCACGGAGTGACAACACAGAGTGGCAGGAGGCCCATAGCTTGCTGCTGCCATCTGCATTGGCACGAGACCTCTGCTTCCACATCCGCCCAGTGGGATCCTCCACGTTCTCATTCCTACTTCCAAAGATGAATTCGAGCATCCCTGAGGAGACACAGTGCCAGGGCGTATGGGACAAAGTACAACCAAGCCACGAGATGATTAGATCAGCCTGTAAATGATTTTATAGGAGCTAGAGGGATGGCTCAGTGGGACAACGTGTTTACCGTGCAAACATGGGTACTGGAGTTCAGGTCTCCAGCCCCACAGAAATGCTGGACAGACACGACAGCGCCCCCCCCCCCAACCCCGTAATCCCAGCTCCCGGGAAGTGAATCCAAGAGCACACTTCCTGGCTAGAATGGCCGTATCCAGGAGTTCTGGGTTTAGACAAGACACTCCAGGAAGATGCTCAAAGTCAGCCTCTGATCTTCATACACACACACACACACACACACACACACACACATACACACACACTTGTATTTGCATGCTCACACATGCAAAAAAAAAAAGACTTTGTAATTCTCGCTCTGGATCCATCTTAATAAGAATTGTGCTCTTCATATTAAGTTCTCTTTATACTAAGTGAAAAAAAAACTGGGTCATCTTTAAAAGTTTCTAGTGGGTACGTTTATAAAGTATTATGCATGTAGCTTCCTCTTCTGTTTCACTTGACTGTTTGGTTTTAAGTGGATTCTAAATTCTAGTAAATGGAAAGGTGAGAGAATCTCTCCCACATGAAGGTCCAGACGTGTTCCTTAGAGGTGTGTGTGTGTGTGTGTGTGTGTCCGTGCGCACACATGGATGCTTGTTTGTCGCACTGGCAATGGAACAGAATTCCCCGAACAACTGAGTCTGGACTTGGACTTGCCTGGTTGTTCTGAGACATGAGCGTCAAAACCACTAACGCACTGGCTAGCTCAGTGTCCCCTGGGACTGACCAAGTTACTCCCCCAAGCAGTTAAGAAGGAACTCAAACTAACGTGGTAGGTGTTGCCAGAGAGACAACAGACATAAATAGCCGCAAAAGCATAGGTGGCAGGAGAATAGCTCACAAGTAATGAGTTCTGAGTATTGGTCGCTTTGGTTACCGACTTAATTGATTTAAATTATTCGTTTAATTTTAGATTTAACACCAACATGCGAATTTCCCAGAAATGTACATTGGTTCTCAGAACCCGTGAAAATCTGGCTTCAGTGCTCAGTCGCCCTGCCTTTGATGTGAGAGCCTTGGTTGGACTTCTGGGTGTCTCTAGAGGCCAGACTTTACCCTTGTACTGGAGAACTGTTCCGCCCTTGTATTTCTGGTCACAGAGATTGTAAGCACCAGGCTTGGCTTCCTTCTCCACATCCCTTTGCTTTACCACATCCAAGTCTCCAGTGTGGCACTTGGATAGACTGCTGCGTACCAGCATGGGCTAATCTACCTGAGTTTGCTCCCTTGCAGCTCCAGAAGAACTGAGGTCTGTCCTAACACCATTTGAAGGATGTCTGTCTACAGCCTGGTGCAGATGTGTGTGTCTCCAGGCTGGGGCCCAGAAGATGCGCCACAACCAACCACTTTCCGATTTGTTGACTGACAGATCTCGAGGGAGAACAGTCTATAAGATGTGTTGGGATGTATGTCTGAACTAGGCTGCGTGATGTGTTTACGTAGAGAGTCGAGAGTTGACGTTTGGGTCCCTCTGAATAATCAGAACACAGTCCCTTGTAGCCTTCATGACACCTCCCTTCCCTGCACTCTGCTTCCTCCCACTGACCAGGAAGATTGCGAAGCTGTGGTGTCTGAAGTCTGGGGACTTTTTAGGCTTCCTGGGTGCGTTAGTTTTGTGTCATTGTAACAGATCCGAGATGGTCAACTCAAATATAAAAGATTTTTTTTACCTAAGAGTTTTGGAATTGTTGTTCATAATCAATGGGTCCTTGCTTCTTTGGATCTGAATACGTGTTTTTTGAGCTATCACCCACCCAGGTGTGCATGGGGGTGTGGAGCTAGCCCTGTCATCTCTCCCTCCACAATGAGTGAGTTCTTCAAGCGCTCACACTGGTAAACGTATTTTTTTTTCTATATTGGTTTGTGGTGAGACACCTCTAGCGACATAACACATTTGATTCACTTATAATATTTCCCCCAGTCCTATGACTTTCAGAATCTCAACTTTTGGGCGATTTTCTTTTCAGAAGCCACCCCCTCTCTTTAACGAAGTCAGTGCTGCCATAGTCCAGTCCGAGCACGTGACCCACCTACGGAATGAGGTGCAGCTGGAACATGAGCAGAACTACCAGGAAGCCTTGGTCAGTATCAAGGAGGAGCTGAGGCTGATGGAAGGCCAGGACATCAAGGAGCAGCTTCAAGACCAGATCCGACAGTGGTTCATTGAATGCAGGTGACCCGTCGGCCTCCGCTCAGGCTGCTTAGCGCAGTAGCTGGTTTTGCTGTTGGTTGGCTGGTAGCTAGTTTGTTGATTTTCCTTAGAGACGAGGTCTCCTTGTTTGGTTCAAGCCAGGCTTGAACATAAAAGAAGCCTCTTGCTTCAGCGCTGGAGTGCTGGAATTAGAAACTCGAGCCTCCACGTGGCTTGTTGTGTTCTTAAACACCAAGGGGCCCAGGATGGAGACATGAAGTTTCTTGACTTCGTTTCAAAAAAAAAACAAAAGTCAAATGCTGACGCTAAGGTTTCAGAGAGGTTTTGAATTAAATTGCTTCTCAGTCTGTGTTTGCTTTGCGACTGCATAAAAGAATGTGTTGAGTAGGGGACAGCTGGCCAGGTGTGTCTAAAGTCCATGGAGCTAGAAATAGCCAGGTCTGGCTGCCTTTCCCTTGAGAGCCGGCAATCCATTGCTTATAGGAGCCTTCTTCAGGTTCTGAGCCTGGGCCCTCCATCAGTCAGAGGCAGCTGTGAATTCTGGGCCCTAGGACTCCCTCAAGTGTTGGGTTATTAGTTCTGAGGCCAAGGCCCCAGGCCTATTCTTATATTAGACTTCCTATTGCCTTTAGATGAAATGCCATGTGGCCTGAAACTCGTTTGCTGGAAATGTTTTAAAGTATGTCTTTAAATAAAATGTACTTTAAAACAAGGGTGCTCTGTCACGGGTGTGAAGAAGGAGACTCAGACATCTCCTCCCATGCTAGGGTGTTGTATTACCCCACCATTAGGTCCTGAGACACTCCAGTGACCGGTGCTAGTCAGTTCATTGGGTCTAGGAAACCAAATTGTGTGGAGTAGAAAAGTCTTCTCTTCTTGAAATAAAACCACAGCCAAGAGTGTACGTGTGTGGCAGGCAGGCTGTGAGCAGACATCCGGGGACCCTACCCTTCCAGCAGAAGCGAGAGAGCCTCCCTCCGGGTCATCATCCCCCTTCTTGCCAGTGAAGAGGCCTACAAGGGACAGAGGGAGGCTCACAGATAACAGCTGGTTCCAACAGCTGGAAGCCAAGCCCTGTCTACAGCCATATGAGTGGGCTGGGGAATGGACAGAGGCAACCGTTTTCCACCACCCTCTGTTGGCCTCATCTGGAAACTGAGCACTTGTTCCCTGCGTGATAGTCGAACTTTATCCAAAACTTCACGGTGGGTCTTAGGCATGGCAACTCTATGCTTTGAGCGAGAGAGTTCTTTTTCAGTCTTTCTTGAAAATGGCATTTCTACACCTTTAATGATTTTTCCCAACTTCAACATCGATTGACTTTGGGAACTTTTCCTTTGTCTGGGAGGGGCAATGAATTGAGGATCTTGATGGAGAATTCAGAACTCATTCTAGAAGACAGGTGGGTTCATCCTGGGGGAGGAATATACAGACAAGCATGTACACCCCCCCTTTCCTTCCCGCCAATCTCCCTGTCTTCTCCTCCTGGCGATGGTTGCACAAATGCCCACGTTTGTCAAAACTTATCAGATCCCACTCTTGAAATCTGAGCAGTTTATCACCTATCAATTATACCTCAACACGCTGTTAGAAGCTATGAGATGGGTAGGGTACCAACAATATGCCAGCGTGTCACTTCTTAAAAATCAGATGAGGAGCTGTTTCTCGGAATGCTAACACCCGTGTATCAGCCTGACTCTCAGCCCACACCCGCTCACACCATAAGGGAAAAAGTTGTACTTCTGGCTTCAAACAGTCGCTTTAGGTAAACTATAGTTTTCTATATAGATGTATGATCAGTTCAGGTGTCCCCTTCTCAAGCATCTTGCCTGATTTCTTTTCTTGTGGAGCCTGCCTGCATAAAGAACCAAACAGCAAACACCCAGCGCCACGCCTGGGTGAATAGTAAACCAGACTGCGGGTGTAGGCAGTTATCACCTTCATTCTGGGTCACATGGTGGGAAATGAAGTGTTAGGTGAGTTCACTGTTGTGTGTACATCACAGGTACACACACACACATCTGGATGCCCAAGCCTCCCTCCCTCATGACTGGCACCATGATGCTTCTAGATTGTGTGTGTGTGTGTGTGTGTGTGCGCGCGCGCGCGTGCAGGACATTGTGGGATAGCACAGCACCGTGTTCTGTCACACTCCTCCAAATGGCACACTCTTAAAGGGAATGAGCTGTTTACTCTGGAATTTGGAGCTCAGTCTTCACAGATTGCTGTCGACAGCGGGTCACCGAAGCCAAAACCACAGAAGGCAAAGAGCAGATAAGGGGCTCCTGAGCTCACAACACAGGGAATACCCTGAGCTTCGTGCACGCACACGCGGAAAGCATTTGGAAGGGAGGGTGTGGCAGAAAGAAACTGAAGGTTGCCTCCAGCTAGGCTCCAGGGAAAGGAATACTCTAGAGTCTGACTTCTTCTGTACTGGGAGAATGTGGTTTTTTTTGTTTCAGTAAGTATTGTTTTTATGATTAAAAAAGCAGATAAAAATACACGAGAGATAAATAGGCAATATAGAGATAAAAAATATTTAAGACACTCGGGTTGTAGGGAAGTAGAGTAACGCGATGTCTTCATTATGCATGGCTATATGGTTCCTAATGCAATATTAAGTGGGATGCAACCGGGTATGAATTATTTTCCCTACCTGAGTCCTGGGAGGCCCTGACTGTCACTCTGGGAATGCCCAGCTTCTTCAGCATTTATGAGTTTCTTTGAAGATACAGCTGGTGGGTCCTCTGAGGACACTTCCTCCTGACCCCACTGTCTGGGGGCTGGTCCGAGGCTTCCTCGCGGGTACACTGGGCAGACTCCACAAAGGCCTAAGAATTCCTCTTCTTGAAGTCATGTGAGGTCGAGGGTAAATTTATTTTCATAATTGGATTAAAGTCATCTGATGGACTTTGATAAAGAGCTTTGCTCCTTCCTTTTTTAAATCAAAGGCAAATAAAAGCAAATATTGTCTTTTGAAGTATGGAGCACGGTCAGTTCTCAGAATGAATTCCAAACGATGGGCAGGGCAGGGCAGGGCAGGGCAGCAGACCATGAGAAGCCATAAACAGTCAGTAGACACTCACTCTCAGCCCAGCTGGTCAACATGTACGGGCTCCAGCTCCCCGTGCTGCGGAGGACGGAGCTGACCTCTGAGGGCGGGGTCACAGTGTGCCACACCATGCCCTCTGATTATTTGCTTCTTCAGCTTTAAAAAACGAATAGTTTTATACACATGTACCGTGAGTTTTGCTTGTTTTCAATCTCTTCCTCATCTCGCATCCCCTCCCCCCACTACTGAAAAGTTAAACTCGAAAAATAACATATATTCTTTTGAGGTAGCGTTTAAAGAAGACAATCTGGCCTGTGTATAGCCTTTGTTTCAGCATACAGAGTCAGTGACGGTGAACGTTTTCTGTCTAGCCCCTTCTCGTCTCTTTTCTCACTAATATATATTTTAATTAGTTCTATTTATTCATATTTTTGCTAATGTTTAAGTTCGATGTTTCAGAATTGAACTTTCTCATGACCCGGTAATGCTTTCCAAAATATTTTTTTAATGAATGCTTGGCATTCGATTGCATGGCTGCACTAGTTAATAAACTGATTGTAATCTTTTTAATATTTTTGCAGCACCGATAAAAAGGCTATCAGGTGATCTTGGAATTTGTATTAATTTCATTTTTTTAAAGACAGGGTTTCTCTCGGTAGCCCTGGCTGTCCTGGAACTCATTCCTTAGACCAAGCTGGCCTTGAACTCAGAGATCCTCCTGTCTCTGCCTTTGGCATGCTAGGATTCAAGGCATTGCACCACCCGGCTAATTTAGCCATTTGGGGGTCTATGCAGCCTAGGATAGTCTTGAATTCAGTCAAGATCCTCCTGCCTCCTAGTGCTAGGATTTCAGGTATATAGCCCCAACTTACTTGAGTTTCTGTTGATAGTTCTTCATTTCTGAGCTGTTCTGTCATTTATCTACTTCTCTGTGTCGTGGTATTGGTTTTTCTTTCTTCAAATGATCTCTGGTGTGTAGTTGTGAATGTTAAAGATTCTTCACTTTGGCATGTCTTTACAGTGATGGCTGCCTGGGTTTTCATTTGTCATTAGTATGCCAGGGAGGCATCAAGCCCTTGCCAGGTACCTTCCACACCTCTCCTCTGGTGTGTCTTCTCCCCCTCTTTTACACTCCATGGGACTAGGATCTCCTACAGAGTATGGCAGTGTATGTGTCATCCTTGCTATGGTGTGTGCTATTTGAAACAGCAGCCTTGTCAAGGGTCTCTGTATGGGAAGCACTGGTTAGAAGTGCTTCAGTTGTTGGTTTAGCAAGAACCAGCTTCCTGGGCTTTACCTTCACCCCCCCCTCCTAGCCTCAGGGTCAGACTCAAAAGTGGGGTTCCCCGCTGTAGGTCCCAGGGTCTCATTTGCAATTGGGACCATCTTAGTGGCTGGGTACATACAGGGGGTGAGAAGGAACTATTGTTTCCTGAATATCTACTCTAGCTCCAGGATGCTTTGCACCTGAGCTCATTTGACCTTTGTGCCAGTTGCTTCTATTGCCATATTAAATCACCACAGTCTTGGTGACTTGAGTGGGAGGTGGAAGTTTGAGACGAAGGGGCGGAGCTGTGTTCCCTAAGAACTCCAAGGATAATCCAGTCATTGTCTCTTGTAGCCTCTGGTGGTGGCTGCCACTCCTTGGCTTCTGTGTCTAGGTCACTCTAGCCCTCATCAGTGGTCACACTGCCCTCTCCTCTTTGTGTCTCTGACCACCTGGCACATGTCTTGCAAGGCATTGAGAGCAACATGGAGAGAATACCACAGGACACAGATAACCCCTACTAGAGGTTCATTCACCTCTTCCAGAGCCATTCTTCCATGTACGGTGTCACAGACTCCAGGAATTGAGACCAAGGGACTTTTCAGTTCACCACTTAGCCCACCACACACCTACAGCCCTATGAGATAGCATGGTATCCTTTGCACCCATTGAACCACACTGCAGGTCTTTGGGACAGTCTAG